CTCCAGGCAGATATAATTATACAAATTAGCACATCAATAAATGTGCTGCTTCTCCTTTCACTGTGCAGTCAGAGATTTATGAAGATCCAGGGCAACCAATGTCAGAGGAAGTGGTATGAATGATGCTGAAAAAATGTACTGCAAAGGAATTCTCTGGATTGAAGTGAATATTGGAGCAAAAGCTAGTTTTATTTTATCTTTTACCTGGTTGTTTATTTTTATCTTGGTATTTTTTTGCTGGCATTCTGCTTAAGACTCCATGCACACTGGGTGTTTTGATAATGCTGGTAACGTTAGCTGTGTAAAGTCACATTAAAAACATGAGGTTTTCAGCTGTTTTTTTTAGCATTTTTGCATTAGCATTTAGCTGTGTTTTGCAGCATTTAGCGGCATTTTCCCAACTTTGCATTTTTTTAGACAAAAAAAAAAATTTTTTTTGATCAAAAAAAGTCCCAGAATTCCGGTTTGCAGTGTTTTACTGCATTTTTCAGCATTAGAGCATTTTTACAGCTAAAAACTCCTCTAGAAACCCACTAGTACTGAGTTTTTTTTCCAGCCAAAAAACGTCCCTGCCAAAAAACATTGATTACAGTTTATGTGTGCATGGATACATAGGATAACATGCTGGGGGGTTTACTGGCTCTAGAAAAAAATGTCAAAAGCCAAAAACAGCAGCTGTAAAAACGTCCAGTGTGCATGAGGACTTATTGTTAGTTTAAACATTGTGCTAGATGCAATATGACAACAGTCTGAAAATATGAATACAATCAGAAATATTTTTTTATAAACACAAAATTACATTATTATTGACAGAAGACAGTCAAATGTCTATGAATGCAGATATCATTCATTTCAGTGGGTCATTATTCTATCCCTGGAAGGAGGGGAATCCACATTGTCCCCATAGATGGGATGCATGCTTGGGAAAAACGGCGAGGAGCTGTAGTAATGGGATGGAACAACAACCTCATCTGGGTGGAAGTAAGCCACGGTCTGTAGAGTGAAAAAAAATAGTGTGTTAGTAGAGTTATAATTACTAACATTCTTTCTCTGTCATCGAATTCTTTGCATTTAGACAAATGCAGCAGGAAATCAATAGGAAAAAGGGTAAAAGTATTACAGTCTAACTCAAGGTTTCTCAATCAGGGTTCCTCCAGAGGTTGCCAGTGGTTCCTTGAGGAATAAGCAAATTCTGCCTCTCAGATAAGTTCTCCCTGACATCAACTGATCTTTTTAGAAATCTGTAAGGGGGTTAATCTTCCCAATGATCGCAAATGTTAGGAGCCATCACACTAATGTATCTTCAGTTGTAGTTATGGTAACTTTTATCAGGGGGTCCCTGAGGCCATAAAGTTATTTCAAGGGTTCCTCCATGTTGACAAGGTTGAGAAAGGCTGGTCTAACTGCTTGCAGTCTTGTTGAAAGGCACTGCACTCAAAACAAATATCAGTAAACAGTATAACATGCATCATGAAATTTCAAGATACAGTCATCAAAGGAAAGTCATTTTACAATATCAAGATCATTATTGTAAATTGATTATTGTTTTAACATCTAAATCTATGCAGGATTCTAGCTGCAAGAGTTCCTTCACTCTTTACAACTGTCACAGCTAGTGTTATACAGTTTCAGCCAAGTAACTAGTTAAACCCTTTTAGAATTTTCTATGTATTCCTTTTGAAAGCCAGTTGTAAGGGGTATGTATAACTTTCTAGTTGAAAAACAGAACCTTAACCTCCCTAGCGGTTTGATTATGTCCATATTTCTGTGCTCAAAGCGGTACATTTTTTTGCATGGAAATATGTAGTTTTTTTTATTGTAGGCCTGTCATTTTTAGGAATAACTCACTGAAATCTGTCTGAACAAGAGTCTAATAAACATCCCGGGTATGTTACAATTTGAAACACGAAATCATAAATTATAATTTAATAAATAATCATAAAAAATAATAATATATTGTAATTCAATAATATAACTAAACCAAAAACACTGAAATTTGAAATAAAGCCCAAGTTCGCACATCACTGAGCAAAGTCACAAAATTGTTTTCAGTATCTGATGGCGAATTTCCCCACGAATCATTATCACTCAATTCTGCAAGTTGTTCTGATTTACTATCACTGTTCTCTAGCTGGTCTAAAACCGCTTTTGACCTAAAGGGACGCTTTTTGGACGCCATGGACATTTCTCAGTTTCCAGGCAGAAAGAACGGTAAAAATGCAGGCAGGGCGCAGGACAAAGCACTAGGGACAAAATGTATGTGAAATGGTTTGACACAGTAATGTAATACTATGTGATTTTAGTGATTTTAGTGAATGTCACTTTTTGTCATTTTCAAATTTCCTGCCGTTCCGTCCCCCGTACGTCCCGACGCTCGCAGGGGACGGAACCCAGATGACGGCATCTGCCGGAGGACATTGCCGGGGACACTGCAGGAGAGACATCGCGGGAGCGCAGGACAAGGTAAGTGAAGAAGAGATCCCGGAGCACGCTGCATGGTAAGCCCGAATGTAGCTCGGGGTTACCGCTTGTGGTACTGAAACTTTACCCCGAGCTACACTCGGGAATACCGCCAGGGAGGCTACGTCACCGGTCACACTGCTGTGATTTAAAATTGCACAATTTGTGTGTAATTTCAGCGTGACTTCATGTGCGATTTGTGAAGACTTTATTGCTACTTGTGAAGATTTTCAATGATTTTTTGCAATTTGCAATGTGATTTCCATTGCAGACTGTAAAGGTTTAGATCTCTTGCTGGGCTGCAGTACTGCTAACCTGCTAATACTGCTAAGACCACTCAATGGACAGAGCTTGTTAGCTGTGCTAAGATCTTGTGTCACTGTACAGAGCCAAGACCCACTGTTTGGAATATTATGTGATAAACTATTGGCAATTAAAGCTAGATTTTAGGCAACCAGCCAAATATACCGTGGGAATTTACATAAATGAACTGTCTTAGGAAATTGTACTTCTGTCCAGTTACTAATTTGTACACCTCTGCCAGATAGCAAAGGGTGACAACACCCTGTTATAGTTTAAAGCTGGTCATACATTATACAATTTTCTTGTACAGTTATCCTTTAGATTTACCAAAACCATATAATATGAGTTCAAACTGATACACTTTCAATTTGTATGTAATCAGGCAGGCCCTTGCACTACATAGTTGAAGGTAAATCTAAAGGAAATTGAACAAGAAAATCGTATAATGTAAGGCCAGCTTAAGAATACAGTGTTGTCACTTTCTAGCCCTCAGGCAATGGAGGAGCAGCAGCATACTGATAAGCAGCATACTGATAAGGCTGTGCATAGCCTGCTCTCTCCTCCTGTCAGTGTGTTTCATGTAAATATATGTGCATTCAGGAGCAGAGCCTGCACTCCAGTTTTAAGTGGTGTTTTTATATTTATTTTTATTTAAGCTTATGAAATGGAAAATATCCTCCAGCCCTTGTCCTTAGCTTCCTAATACACTAACCTGTGTACCCTTTCCTTTTCCAGGTCATAACTTAGCTCCTTTGGCAGCTACGACCTCCCATGCCGTCTACAGCCCAGATGGTAAAAACCTAAGGCCATCTTGCCTGTGCCTGTGCACTGACATTCCATAGACTTAAATGGAAGATAGCTCTGGTAGTATGGACATGGCCCACTCAGGTCTAGGGACATTAGTGTACAACTGTGGGCAGCCTGACACTAAATTCTTTGAGAGCATGGGAGGCATCAGCTGTCGGAGTAAAGGCCTGCAGGTAAGGAGCGGGATGGATTGTCACAGATTAGTGTACTGAGGAGGTGAGCTTAGGGAAAGGAGCTGGGGGATTTTCTCCAGTTCATGAACTTGGCCTTTAATGAAGAAGTATCATGCTGCACATGCATTGTGGTGAACAGTACTTCTACAGCTGAATTTGACTTCCACTGAACAGATACCATCATGGCAGAAAACTCTATACTGCAAGGTCAAGGCATAACACACACAAGCACTATAATGCTCCATCAGCACCAGGACTCAAGAAACCTCCTATAAATTGTTAACATGTTGGTATGCTACACCAGACAGGTTAAAGAGGTGGTTTCCCCAGACATCATGCTTATGTTGGCGCTGTGAGTCAGCTGAGGGCTCCTTGTTCCATGTCCAAGGCTTAAGGCATTCTGGGATGAAGTTCGAGAGTTGATCTACTCTAATATGGAGACTGCATTGCCCTTAACTCCTGAATGTTGCCTCCTCCATATTTCTGAGTGCTCGTTGAAATCGTACAAGAGATCCTTGGAGCGGCACCTTTTGCATGCGGCTAAGTCCTTAATTCCCAGACATTAGAAGACCACTCACACTCCCTCGATTCAAGACTGGATTAGAGAGGTTAATGTTATTAAGGAATTGGAATGGACACTGACTATGACTGCTGACTTGGTTCCCAGGTTTCACAAATTGTGATCCAGTTGGTATGCTTTCACTTTTTCGTAAAGATATAAAGGGCTGATGGGCAAATAGCTCTTTTTCTCTTTTGGACGTGTGGGTCATGCTGGTGAATTCTGGGTATCTCTTGTGGAGATGGATCTGTCCCTACTTATGCTATTTTCTTGCTTTCTTTCCTAGCTTTGTTCCTCTGTTGTTACTTTTCTTTCTATTAGACTTGATGATTGTTCCTGCAAATTGTGAAACGTTTTACTATGTGAATGCTTTCTAATGTTTTGATTATGCTACTGAGTTTGCTCTGAAACTAATTTGTAAACTGTGTACTACATCAGGGCTTAAAATTTCAAGTCCTGAGCTACTAGCCAGGCCTTAGAGTTACTCGCCACCAACAAACACACATAAACAGAGACACCTGTACACACACACAGACATGTACACACACATACACACACAGAAACATATACACACACGCACAGAGACACATGTACACACACATACAGACACATGTACACACACACAGGCACGTACAGACACGCATACACACAGATACATGTACATACACAGAAATACACACGCACATACACACAGAAACATGTACATACATACACAGACACATGTACACACAGACACATGTACACACACACACGGACACATGTACACACACACACATACATGTACATACATGCAGACACATGTACAGATACACACATGTACATACACACAGACACATGTACAATTGTACACGCATACACAGACACACACAAACACACACACATGTACACACACACACCACCACCCCCCCCCCATAAAAAGTTGCAGTACTTCGTTGTTCACTCACAGAGCTGGGTACTGCACTCTAGGGGGAGGCAGAGAGCACAGCACACACTCCTTGCTTTGCTTTCACTGCGCTCAGCTATTGAGCAGTCTGATGGCTCCCAGTGCCAATGACAGATCTGGTTTGAGCTCCGAGCCTGCTCAGCAAGACGGCCCTGGGGGACACACTCGCCCCAACCATAATTTCCACTCGCCATTAGAGAGCAGGAAAGTGGAAATTTCAAGTCCTGTACTACATGATATGATAATATGCTATGCTTTCTTGTAGCTCACTCTTGTTCATATATTCTGCTTTTTCTTTCTGAATAAAAGCCAAATGTTTTAAAAAAAAAGCACTATCAATTTTTTACATAAAAAACCCAGAAAAATATTTATTTATTATTATTATTTATTACAGGTACTTATATAGCGCCATCAATTTACGCAGTGCTTTTATATATATATATTGTACATTCACATCAGTCCCTAACCCTCAAGGGGTGTACAATCAGGCAAGATGATCTCTAGCACAGCAAGGGGTTGGATACTTTTGGGCTACATTTTAAAGTGACCTTCTGCTCTCAGCTGAGCTTCTGAAAAGTTACTTTTATGTAGCCTCAAAGCTGCAGTGCTGAATGAAGGGGATCTTGTAAATGAAGGGGATACTCTGCATGTGACTGACATTTTTGTTTCACACAATTTGGACAAATGTAAATTATTTAAATTAATTTATCAAAGGAAGGTGGTATTCATATTTACTACACATATTTGTGTTATTTAATAGACAGAAAAGTTATGATGGTGTGTGGGACTTACCAGTGGAGGGTATTTATAGAATACTGAATTGTTGATGTCAATGGGGTAAGTGCTCTGTATGTCTGCATCCCTTGCATTAACTAGGCGAAAATACAGCTCTGCATTTTCCAGCTAAAAAATAATAAATATATATTTACCATAATATAATGTAACAAAACAAAGTTCAAAAACAAGTTACAATTAGTGTATCTTTGTAAACTACTGTATATTCTGTCAGCAAAAAAAAAGACACAGATGGCTTACAAAGTATTAAATTAATTACCTGAGGCACCCCATTCAAGGCCCCTGAAGTGAGCGATGGTTTCACAGGAAGTGTACGAATTGGAACTTTCCATTGCCCCACTGATAACCCTGTTCTGATAATCAAAAATGTCTACTTTTACCCATCCCCGAGGTATTAGACGACTGACTTCTTGCCCATAAGGATCATAACCACCAGATGCCTGTAGTTCAATTATTAGTGAAATACTTGGAGAAGGACGTACTCTGTCAAAAGAAAACAGTTTGGAATGCATAGATATTGATAATCAATTTACTGCTAATTTCACTTTATGTTTTCAGTTTTCAGCAGCAGGAAACATTTTGTTTTTATATGTCACTTACTTTTAACAGGGAAAGATCTATATGGTTTACAAACATAAAAACTCATACAAAACTAAAAATGCACCTAACCAGTTCTACTTCCTTTCCATTTATTGCTAGCACATCTGGCTTTTGTTCACTACATACTGTACTCTTGCTTTTTGGTCAATTGTATTTTATTTTATTAAAATGCTTAAACATTTATAAACTGATATAATTGTTACTTTTATTTGTAAAAATTCCTATTTTACAACTGAGCATTTAATTTAGTGAGCTGTCATGCTTGATCCTTCTAGGTCACAAGTTTATTTGTTATATATCTCATTAAGTAGGGGAGGGAGCATACCACACCTCAATACCTCTACCCAAATCACTTTTTCAACCATTGTATAGAAGTAAAAAAACATTGACAGATATCATTGACATACAAAATACTTCATTTATTAATTAAAATTACAAAGAAACACCACAAAAAAAGTGATTTGGGTAGAGGTATTGAGTTAAATCGATTTTTTCCTTTTTTCCTACATACTGAGGATCTAGAGGGAACCATCTATACTTGATATATTTAAAAAATGGACCGCGCTAAGGTCACAAATAGACAAAATAAACCGAGCAATCTTTAAAGTGATAATACTGAGCAAGATACAAATAAAATATTGATATTCAGTCCCAACATGTGAATAATTGGTGCAACGGTGCTGTATCTTTAATGGTGATACTCCATACTGAAATGACAAGTGCTTCACTGTGTTCACACTGGTGCCCCACATAGATGTAAACTCACCGTAATTTCATGACCACCTATCTCTAGGTAAGTTACACTCGTTTTTTGGGACTATCCCAGTTTGCAATCCAGTCCTGATGGCCGATATTCCTTTGCCTTATAACCGTGGTTGCTGGTAATAACCAACAACTTTCCACTAGATTTGCATCAATGTTAGGCAACTCCTCTCCTCCACAGGCGGTATTTCATATTTTCAGCATAAATCAAAACAAAACCAGACATCCCATAGTGTAAAACTGTATAAAACATTAATATGGGGTCAAACAATAGAAATGCCACTCACAAAAAAAGTGTCTTTCCTGGCACTAAGTGTATTCAGCTTTGTATATTATGAATGGGAGTTAAGATGGCCACCGCATTCCAGCATGTGTTCCAAATCCCGGAAGTGACCTCAGCGGAAGTTGTGTCATAAGCCCTCGACTTTTTTTTTGTGAGTGGCATTTCTATTGTTTGACCTCATATTAAAGTTCTATACAGTTTTACACTATGGGATGTCTGGTTTTGTTTTGATTTATGCTGAAAATATGAAATACTGCCTGGGGAGGAGAGGAGTTGCCTAACATTGATGTACATCTAGTGGAAAGTTATTAGTTACTACCAGCAACCACGGTTATAAGGGCGAAGGAATATTGGCTGCCAGTCAGTGCCGCCTATCAGTGCCAATCAGTGCTGCCTATCAGTGCCAGTCAGTGCCGCCTAACAGTGCCAGTCAGTGCCGCCTATCAGTGCCAGTCAGTGCCGCCTATCAGTGCCATATTAGTGCTGCCTTTCAGTGCCCATCAGTGATGCCTGTCAATGCTCATCAGTGCCTCCTCATCAGTGCCACCTATCAGTGTCCATCAGTGCAGCCTATCAGTGCCCATCACTGCAGCCTCATTAGCGCATATCAGTGAAGAAGAAAAATCACTTATTTACAAAATTTTATAACAAAAACTAAGAAAAAAACTTTTTTTTTTTCAAAATTTTCAGTGTTTTTTGGTTTGTTTAAGAAAAAATAAAAAAACAGAGGTGATTAAATACCACCAAAATAAAGTTCTATCTGTCCCAAAAAAATGATAAACATTTCACATGAGTACAGTGTTGCATGACCGCACAATTGTCATTCAAAGTGCAACAGCGCTGAAAGCTGGAAAATGGCCTGGGCAGGAAGGGGGTATAAGTGCCCTGTAGGCTAGCGGTTAGAAAAGATCAAATCTTTGGTGAAAACATTGATAAACAGACCCCATAGTAGGTTAAGAAATTAGGACTGCAAAAATATTTTTGAGAATGGACTGTAAAACCATGTTTGCAGACATAAAAATACAAAGTCTTTAAAACCATCTGAAAGAACATAATTTAAATTTGAAAGTACCTGGGGACAGCCTGCTTTGTAGCCAAAATAGCGATATTCTGTCTCTTGTTGTCATGGAACTTGGATAAAGCAGTCTCACAATAAATGGGAGGGAGGGCTGAAGGATTTCCCATCTCCTGCCCCCCCATTGCAGAGACTCACTACCGTTCTGCATACTCGATAAGATGGATCAAGGCCAAGAAGATAGTCGTAAAATACCACAAAGCCAGCACTGTAACAAGAGGAACACATAAAACTGTTAAGTTGCAATATGTTCTCCATGCTGCTTTATGTCCTCCATACTTATTCTTTATGTTTTACGGACATTTTATTATATTTGTTATCTTTGCTGAACTTGCCCACATTTGACTTTGGTGCAATAGTGTTTCTAACCTTGATAGTACAAGCAGAAACGAATAAGGAGAGAAAAGAGAGAGAAAGCAGAATTCCCAGGAAGCCCAGGAAGTAGTTTACATTTTTATTTGTTACAATCCTTAGATATTTCCTTCATATTTTATTATGTTCTTTTTTTATCTTTACTTTATTGTACTTTACTTTAATCTTTATTGTATCTCATATGCTGCGTAGATCACACCTTATTAGTCAGTTAATAGAATTTAAATAGTATTTATACTGTATATTTATATAAGCAGCTTATTGACTTCTTGTGTTCTTAAAGAAAATCTTTTAGAATATATCATATTTATTTTTATACAGTACCACAGGTATGCCATATACTGACTAATGCACAATTCTGATGTATTTTTATATAGTATTGTTAGCGAGGATGAAGAGGGATCAATTAGGCCCCTAAATTGCGTTGACTATCATTCTTAGTTTCATTATGAAAAAATATGAACTGGACACTGAACCATATATCTGTCAATCCGCAGACTAATGCAGTGTTAGGTGAAGATATCCTCTAGAACATTTCACATCCTCAGGAAGACTGCATTAGGTATTCTGTATCATTTAAAGAGTGGCTAGACTGTAGAAGAAGACTGTTCTGAGGGCAATCAAGGGGAATCTGTGATTACAACAATCCTGATATTTCTTGTGTGATGTCAGCTCTTCTAGACTTGGGTCTTCACAGGGGTGAGGAACAATGGAAACTTTTCTAACCCTTAAAGTGGTTGTACAGGTCAAGGTTTTTTATCTTCATATATTCTATGCATTATGGGGGAAAAAACTTGTGTGCAGCAGCCCCCCCCCCAGCCCCACTAATACTTACCCAAGCCCCTCTGGATCTAGCGATGTGCACAAGAGCCTTGGCTGATCATGGACTCTCTCTCCTCATTGGCTGAGAAGCAGGAGCCACTGGCTCCTGCTATTGTCAATCACAGCCGGTGAGCCAATAAGTAGAGGGGGGGGGGCAGGGCGAGCCACTCTCTGTGTATGAATGGATACACAGAGTAATGGCTCGGAAGCTAGCTTGCTTGGGTGCTGGGGGGGGGGGGGGTGCAGGACCGCCAGTGAGGGACCAAAGAAAAGTAGGATCAAGGCTGCTCTGTGCAAAACCATTACACAGAGCAGGTAAAAATTACATGTTTGTTATTTAAAAAAAAAACCTTTACTATTACTTTAATAGTACAGCAATCAGTCTGTGTTATATTTACATAGTATTCAAGGATACCCAGCAGGGATCTAGTTTTCTAATAGTAATCATCCATGGCCACTTTTTGTTATATAGAAAAAGACATGATTCCTGCAAACATGAAAATCCGGTACTTACATGGGGTCATATGGTGCTGGCTCCAGATTATGACTGAAGGTGAAATACACTTTACCAAGATTGGGGGAGTCTGGTTTGTTCAATTCCTGCAACATTATTTAATTATGTCATTTTTTTGTATACAATATGTTTACACAGCTATTCTGACAAAAAAATGTTCCATATACACTTTTGTTACCAGTGGAATTACTGTATCCATCTGAGGTTTGGCTCGGTGAACAGAGGTTTTCAGACGACGTTTTAGTTTCTGAATTTCCATTTCCTGCTTCAAGACTTCCAGTTCGGTATTTAAGGTCTTTATATTTTGGGAGGTGGTCTCTTTCCTGAATCTAGGGAACTGCAGACCCTTCTCAAAATTGGATGCAAAATCTAATGCAAATAAACAGAGAAAAAAAATTGAGCTATTTCAAGTAATAATATACAATGGAATGTTTGTACCTAACAAGGAAACGTATTTATAAAGTATAAAAGTATATCTAAAACCAAAACCAGGTGCAATCATTGGAAAATATCTCCACTATTTCTGTTGTGGAAACAATTGTGAAATGATGACATTTTCCAAGTGACAGTGGTCATGGGGCACATAGCTTAAACATTTTTAGCAAGAACACAGACAGTAATTATTCTTATTATTATTTCTTTTTTAGGGAGCACTGAATCATCCAATATAATTATGAAGACTGAATTATACTAAGCATTAGCATTTCACAAGTTTTAAATTATACTCTAATCATGAAAAACTGAATAGTATTCTGAATATTGCATATATTACAGTATTGTACAGAATAGCATTTTACATTGAAAAATGTATTTTTATATAATAGCCTAATCATGAGAAATTGAATGTTACAATAAATATAGCATACACCACAGTATTGTGTAGAACAGTGATGCATGTTTTGCCACATACGGTGGTGCCATTAAGGGTTAACGATAGCCCCAAGTTTCTGCTAAAGAGCAGCACATTTTATCAGCAGGTCAGAAAGGCACGCAGTTTTGTGAGCATTCCCCACCGGCACAAGTGCAAACCAAGGTAGGGTTCTTACAGCACCCTGATGACCCCTCCCACCAGCCATGATCTGCCTGTATTGCACAGAAAAAGTTGAGACCTACTGATGATATCATTGGGTCTAATATAAGGTATGTAAAATGTATTTAGTATGGGGGTGAAGAGAAGGAGGAACCAGGGAAGGTAAAGTTTCAGCTTTAAACTTCAACTTTAGGGCTTAAAACATTCTATGTTTCATATTTATCCATGTTTTTTAAAACTCCTTTTTACAAAAAAACAGATTATAAATATTATGTGAATGACCTTTAGTGATCCTTCAATAAAAGTATTTTATGTAACAATGGCATACTAAGAGCATTTTGGGTGTCCCTGGCTACACAAGACGAACAACACTGAAATTGATATTTTGTTTGTATTTACAATCCAGGAGATATGTTGTGGTTGGACCCAAATGATCAAAATTTCAAACAATGATGGAAATGTTATGTTTGGTGGGATGATCATATTAACAAAAAATCTGTAAATAAAATCACAATGCAACTCGTAATTGCATACCAGAGATGCTAGTACAATTGTCTGGTTCAGCTGTATCTTGCACTTTTCTTAGTAATTCATAGAACAGTAATACATTTTGGAGTAGCCACATTTGTGTGCTGCACGTTATAATTACAGATAAATGTTTTGGTGCATTTCACTTAAACTTTTTTTTGTAGTTTGGACAGAGTGGAGAGGGATTACAACACCTGTCAGGATTTTATTACTCTATGTGCCCCCTAGAGAGATTCATTCACCTTATCCATTTTTTTTTTTTGAAGTCCGCAAAAGTGCGAAAAACGAAAACCCGTAAGTGAACAAAAAACGTGCTAGTGCAAAACCAACACAAAAAAGTGCACTTGGTGTGCTTTGTCCACCCCCGAAGGGGTAAGATCTCTTGCCTGATCCCCCGAGGCACGAAGCTCCTGACAGGGACTAAGGTTCCCATGTGGTCCTCCTAGCCAAAAGGCCTAGTGGACCCCTTTCCTTGTGGCTAACCTAAGCCAGCCACCAAGTACCAGGTAAGGGGGCTTTTCCAAAGAGAAACCCCCTAGGGACAGGGGAACTAAAAGGCCACACATCCTCCCCCTAGACTTCAGGGCAGGCCCGAGGACCCACACCCTACCATCCGTGAGAAAAAAAACACACACATAATTGAAAGTTAAACAAACGTGGAAAAAAAAATTAATTAAATAAATAAGTAAAAAAATAAAAAAGTGACCGTGCAATTGTGCACTGGCTAGGCCCTGAGGCCCGTAGCATAAAAATTGCCCTGGATTTAGCCAAAAGGTCTAGCCCTAAAAGGCGCAGTGCAGAAAAAGTGTTTGGAGCAGTGACCATGTGCACGTTTCACACACGGGATCCCATCCCCATGTTCTACTAAGAGCACCCCTGAGGCGACCACTCAGGGGGCACTGTTCTGCGGACTCTCTGCCTCCCTGGCCCCTGGCCAGACAAGGTAGATCAGTTCAAACCAGGAGTAACTGGGCCGCTCTGGCGTTCCTGGGGGGAATTACTCCCGGGCTCCAACTGCCTGTGGGCACCTCGGTTTCTGTTCCGCCCTGTATTAACCATCAGGACCCGCATCCTACCAGCAGGGGTACTATACAACCAAACATCCCCGCTGGTCCATTTGTCATATTTACCTTTATCACCAAAAAAACAGAAGTCAAGGAAACTCCCAAACTTTGAGTTGTCCTGAGGAAAGAGGGAACATCTCCCATTAGGGACATTAGTTCTGGCAAACTTGTTAATAACCAGAAATTCCCTTAACTTGGAGTGATTTCTGCCCACTTATTTTATGAAGGAAAGTCTCCACAATAGAAAACAGATGGCGAAAAAAACCTTGACAGGATTTATAACAATCCCTTTCTTTATCTAAAATGAAAAATGTTTTTGCCAGTCAGTTCTACTTTAAATTTATGCAAATTTTGCAAGGTGAATTTAAACATTGTCTTTCGTATACTTCTCATTATCAGTTGTAACTACGGGAGTGCCTCACCTATGTTTGTATACACTATACCAAGTGTTGCTCTTATTGCGCCACTTTTTTTGAAACATTAACAATAACTTGAATTAATCTGCAGTAGTCACTAAGCATAAATAAACACTTCAACCATTTGATAATTTCTTTATCAGGACATTGCAAACACATGCTGGTCAACAGCCAACAGAGTGCTCCAAGGGAAATCTTAAGGCATCTATAGAGAATCTGTGACTAAGTAAAACACCTATGTACACTATCATTCTGTACCACCTGAGCTTCATATTTATTGGAGTATATTATGTGATAATAGTTTGCAGGATAGTGTCAGAAAATGGTTACTTCCATCATAGAGATATTTTGTTAAGCGACTGTTTCATTTAATAGAGAATGTATAGTAAGCACAGTGGGTTGGTGGAAGTGGCAGCAGAGGAGCTTCTTCCCCTAGGAGGATCCTTATACTGGTTTTGTAAGCCCCTATTCTGGAGAAGTCCAGTCCCTGCTCATGGCTTTCTGAGATCCCTCACAAGGATCAGCACAAATGCTACTATACCAGTGGCATTCTGATGAGTGCACATCCATAAAAGGTGGTGGAATTCCATCCTGGATCATGAGCACTTTTGAATATCCCACTTGGTATTGCTGCACCTTGTAGTACCACAGATTTTTCACTAGATGAAGAGCACTTATATACCACCAGGCATTTCTGTGATTTATAGTACCATGGAAAATTTATATTTATCACATAATAATTGATGATATTTGTAGTGACACAGATATTTTTATTATTTGATTTATAAGATTTGATATGCTTTATTAGGTCCATGGGCGGACTGACCATTTGGAAACTCGGGCACTGCCCGAGGGCTCGGGGTCAGAAGGGGGCCCCCATGAGATGCCCCTGGTACCTTTCTTAGGCTTTTTTTGGTGTGGTTTGAGTGTGGGCAAGGACACAGGGGCCCCATGGTCCCCTATTGCCCGGGGGCCCCATGAGTTGTCAGTCTGCCCCTGATTAGGTCCATATCACATTGATATTGTATGCTCACTTTATTCACTTAAGCACTGTATGATTGTATTGGAGATTTATATTTAGCGCTGCACTTTTATCTGTATTTAGTATTATGGGTTTCGTTACCTTTGCCCAATTTGTGCTAGCAGCTTTTATACTTTCTGCGCTTGCCTTACATCTTGGGAAAAATAATGATTTGATCCCCTGCAGATTTTGTAAGTTTGCCCACTTACAAAGAAATGAAGGGTCTATAATATTTATCATAGGTGTATTTTAAATGATAGAGACAGAATATCAACCAAAAATCCAGAAAAAACACATGATATGTTATAACATGAGTTGCAGTTCAGTGAGTAAACTAAGTATTTGATCCCTATGCAAAACATGACTTAGTACTTGGTGGAGAAACCCTTGTTTGCAATCATAAATTTAAGACGTTCCTTGTAGTTGTTTACAGGGTTTGCTCACATCTCAGGGGGGATTTTGGTCCACTCTTCTTTACAGATCTTCTTTAAATTCTCTGTCGCTTGGCAACTCGAAGTTTCAGCTCCCTCCCTACATTTTCTACAGGATTAAGGTCTGGGGACTGGCTAGGCCACTCCATGACCTTGTGCTTCTTTTTGAGACACTCCTTTGTTGCCTTGGCGGTATGTTTTGTATCATTGTCATGCTGGAAGAACCATCCATGACCCATCATCAGTGCTCTGGCTGAGGGAAGAAGTTCTCATCCAAGATTTTACAATACATGGCCACATCCATTGGCCGCTCAATGTGGCAAAGTCGGCCTGTACCTTTAGCAGAGAAACAGCCCCAAAGCATAATGTTTGCACCTCCGTGCTTGACTGCAGAGATGGTATTCTTAGGGTCATAGTCAGCATTTTTCTTCCTCCAAACACAGCGAGTCGAGTTAATGCCAAAGAGCTAAATTTTGGTCCCATCTGACCACAGCACTTTCTCCCAATCCTTCTCTGAATCATTTAGATTAGACATGTGCAAAACAATTTAGTTTCATTTCAATTCGAAATCTAAAAAAATTTGTGTAGTTGGATTCAGTAAATTTGTCCATTTTGTTTTCGGGATTCCTTTCGGTAATTCATATTTGAATTCAATTCAATACATTTCGAGCAAATTCTAAAAGTAGTTCACATTCGAAATTGGTTCAACCTAATTCGAAATTGATTCAACAAACTTCAAAAAGTCTTTCAAAAATCGAAAAGATTTTAACCGAATTCGAAAACATTCTACCAAATTCGAAAAGTAAAACTGGCCATACATGTGTAGATTTTCATCTGAGAATATTCACTTCAAGAATATTCTTCAGGTTTTCTTAGTGA